TAGTTAGGTCGAGTAGGCGTACTGTTGTAAGTCCTACTTGTTCCTATGGTGTGATATGCTATATGATGAACCATGACCGTAGGCGTCAAGGTAGCTTGTGTGATATGGAGGGATTTTGGGGGCCGGTGTAAAATCCATTTTGAGTGCCTCGTGTGTTTGTGAAAATCCCTCCATGTATATACTTGTACTTTATTCCTATTGATCGCATTAGTTGTACATTGTTAACTTTTTGACTACATTTGAATTGTTAATATTTGTATTTTATTATAGTTTCGTTTTTACCACACCTTCACCAATTCCCCATGTTTCTTCCCGAGCTGCACTTATGTTGTTTTACTTTATACTAAGTCTGGGCGGTAGCCATTTTGGTTTATCCTTGCTTTTGATTGCTTGACCTGTGTTGACTGGAATTGTGCATTTTGGTTGTGAATTGAAGCACTCTTCCAGAATTGAAAACACTCTGTGTTATAGAGCGACCAATTATTACCTTTTGAACGAATCTGTACGTGATCTATCCAGACAGGATAGAATAACATTTATTTGTGGTGATTGATTTAATTGATTGAACAATCATTGGTTGAATAGCCGGGTGATAATATTTGTTTAGAACCGCTAGTTACCCGACTACTTGTTCTGATTTTGACGGGAAAGGGCGCGTGTCTAAAAACCCCCCTGTCGGCTATTCTTCAACATCCAAACCGTAGTTTGGATCCTACAGGGAGTAAACTCCCAACTCATGTCTATGATAATGGCTTGAACCTTAGTCAGTGTTGGGGTAAATTCGACATTGTTTTCAGTTTGCAGGAGATTTGCTCGACTGCTTATACTGATTATTTGCATGCATGATTGTGTCGCTAAACCATCAATTAGACTGACAAGGTTTTGAGATATTTACTGAATGAGCAACTGATAGAGAAACATACTGTAATCATCTGTGATGGATGAAGATACCAAGAAAACAACACCATTTAATGGTAATTATAAGTCAATTTGTTGACCGATTTCGTTAATAGTTTCATTAATTTTATCAGTCATATTACGTGATTGTCAAGTTATGACAATGCTTTATGACAATATCCTGAAACTATTAAATTTAACTAGTTATAGTGTTGATTGAGGATTAGTCAGTGTAAAAATAGGTATTGTTGCTTTAGGTGATTCGAAATCATCAGAAATTTATAACGTTAAAGAATCAGAGACGCCTAATTTAATTATAAATTTCAATTCAGAAATATTCGTCTAGTGTTAATTCTAGTAGGCTATGGAGTTTTGATTTTAAACGTTTGTTTAGCCAACAGCTACCTGGGGATTTAGTTATTTTACTAGTGCAGTTGATAGTACCTAAATTTTTATTCTTATTATCTAAACTATGTTCGCATTTTAGGCTGCTAATATGATAAACCAATCCATAAACCCAAATACGATTAGCAACAACGACTATGATGGGTTTATTAATAAATGTTAAAGGCGATTCAGATGATTACTAAATTTAGGAGACATGGAGATATGGTGAAACGCGTGTATGGGTCAGGTTAACAAGCAGGTTGTTGACGTATATGACAATTTAAAAATAATGAACATGACCAGATAAATAATTTTAAAGTTAAGACTGCTTGTAAAGCTTCAGTCAGGAATATGACGCGTTATAAACATTCCATTAGAAGTTACTGCGTTTAGCCTAGGGACACTTACAAATATATGGCAAAAGCAACTGCAAAACATACATGTTAAGTACAAATAATCACTAAGTAAAATAGTTGAACTCGCCTGGGTTATTTTTGAAAATTAGATTATTCAGTGGACGACATACATAACGCCATTCGTGAGTAGTAATGATCCAAAAGCATCCAGAATAAAACATGTAGTATGGCAATCGCTTCCAGGGTGCTTGTTAATATGAATAGAAGAAATAAGATAACATTCAGCAGGGACCACGCCTGCATGGCCGAGCCATGCCGTTCGATCAACTCTAATTCACTCAACTCATTGTTCGCGCCTTCTCCATCGTTAGGTATTTCTCCGTGTTAAATATTGAATATCTATTTTCCGAGTTGTCTCATGTTCAGCTTTGCGGATTGTGTGGTTATGGTCCAATGCCACTACAATACTATGTATTCAGATATTTCCATCAGTCTAGAATACTTTTTGCTTTTACTGTTGGAATTGCAACCAGTTTGCTGTAAAATATGGAAAGGTAGGTTAAAAAGATAGAGCTGGGAAATTACCCAACACACAGTAGTAATGTAATTGTTCTGAGAACTTCTCAAGCCTTTCAGAGTCTGTGGTTTAACTCTGGTTATCGGTTACCAATGAAGTTTCGTTTGGTTATTAACTATCAGGGATTGGGTTCTTGTCATAGGGATTTTGCGTCCTGGCGGTAACGCCTGGCAGTGATTTTCGTCTGTAGTTACCGGGTGGAGGTTAATTAACACTACCCATTTTGGTGATCATGCCTAAAGTGGATGCCAATGGGTTGTTATGTGACACATAATCCTTAAGTGTACCATATGATTGGATTCATTTTTGGTCAGTCTTATCTTTTCAGGATGCGATGTGTAAAATCTCTGGTTATGCATTGCACGGGATGCTTGGCCTATCTGTTGTAAGTGTGGACTGACAGTATGTTTGGCCGTGATCGAGCGTGACGTACATCCAAAAAAGGAAGTTCCACAGACAGATAATTTGGTACCAGAATGGGGGTTTGAGGAGATTGTGGTAATTTGATAGTCGAATTTATGAGTCGATTTAAGCTAGACCACCATTGAAAGCCTGCAGGCACTAGATACGCATTGCTGAAGTGTTCCATACTAGGGCGAAACAGGCGTTCAGTGCTTCCAGCTTTTTAATAATGGTCTAGCTTTAATCGACTAGTGAATTCAACTATAAGGTAATTTAGTATTTCGGTCTAATAACTTTCATTTTCCCGAGTTCATGAAAAAGATTGAGGTTTTCAAAGGTTTATCCCAGTGATTGGCACAGAAACATCTGCAACCGTAAAAATCCGGTGAATGGTTTTGCGTAAACCCATACTTTATTTTAGTGATCTATCTTACCGTATGTGGAGTTCGGTTCTTCACTTGTCGCCTGTAAGTTGAGGAGCAGTTCTTACAGGCGGTCGTTAACATTCACGGGAAGAACGCTTACTTCTGTGCCAGCGCACGCGAGACAACTAATCTCTGTCACCAAACTACTCATATATAACAGAGGGCTTTGCCCACTGGCTACGGTCATCAATAACAAGTGGCGACGGGGAAGATTCCTGAAAGATTTATCGTGACGGAAAGTTCGGGCTAAGGTAACTGCGATGTTTCCTGGAGTTTCCAGAAGACTAACTATGCTTGATGTGGTACCAACGTCAATTAAATTTATCCGTTCCTCGTGGTTTAAGGATCGATTTTTTTCGTGACATTCTTCTCAATGAAGATATGGTGCATCTGTGATTATGATGAATATTAAAAAAGGAGTATGAATCTGACAGAAATATGTGACTTCATTTTGTGTAGTTGGAAGCTTTCCTTTGACAGACCAAACCATGGTGCTTGAGTTCCCGGTGATCTCATGAATCCAGTAGGCAGATGCAGCTAGGTCGTCCGCGGCTTGCATCTGACGAGGAAGTCAAGATAGAAAGTCCTTGATCAAAGTTTTGTTGTCTAGCTACCTTTCTTATACGTAGCAATATTTCTGCTGCTGAACAGCACTGCAATTCGATATTGCTGAAGAGTCGATATAGTGTTTTGCAATCGGTTAGCTTTCTCTGTTTAAGGACGACCTTTTACAAAGTGTCTTAAGGTTCTGAAACATCGCCAGCAAACGCACATGTTGTCATCGCATCGTACTGCCTTCATTACACTGAGGAAATTTGCACGTGGATCTGTTCGGCTGGGCTCAGAAAGTCAGTTTCTGAGAAGCAGGACCAGACCTCAATATTCTTGAACCATAACATCATGAAGTGCAAGATGGGTGGCGTAATTCTTAAATCTTAATAATTTAGATATGTTTTATGACATGATAAGAGAGAATATATAAACATGCAAGAAATGCTTGAAATACTAAATCAATGTCTCATAGAGTAAATCAATGTGTATAAATTGTTATGGGGAAAAAACTCATAGTTTATCGGCTGGAGTAGTAGGGTAGTCCGGTCCACCACTAAGGACGTCACTGATATTTAGGATTTGGCCGCGCTTTTTTCCGTAACACCTTTGTAGTCGAAAGATCTTAAACATAAAAATGACACAAGTATTCAGAGTTTGACAACACCCTGACAAGCAACAGTTTTTATGACCAAAACGTGCCTACCCGGTGAAACCAGACCTTATAAGCAATGATAACCGAAGATGTACAGGACAGAATATCGATATATCGAGAAATGCTTAATCCAAACTGGCCAACGATTATGTGTGATGTGAAACACGGCGTACACATCCGCTATCTGATGCGGATGCGTGACCGAGCACCTTCAGCCTTGGTGTGTCCAGTTGAACTAGTGAGGTCAGTACTATTATTAAAGACACATAGGACTGTTTATTTAGTGGATTCATTCATCACTAAAGAGGGATTGGTGTAACCACTGCTTTTCTATCTCTTGAGTTAATGACAAGATAGTTTCGAACTTCAGCTTCCTGGTGGAACGTAACTAGAATCATAGTTCTTCACAGCGATCAAAGCTCTACAAATAGACAAATTCAGAAAAAAACGTAATGAACTGTTTCTCACAATAGGTATCATTACCAAGGTTTGACTTGATAATTTCGAATAAATTGAGCATTGGTTAGATTGGTAAATAAATAATATATTTGTAATAGCCTATGAGGTATCGGTGATAAACTGGTGCTAAATCTCGTTGAGCGCAAATGTTATCTAACTTGTCCAAAGAAACCTCAAGGACTGAGTCAGGTAAACGGATTTAATGCATTTATTACCAAAAATTGAACCTCGACGGTTTGTAGCGCGGACGGTTTGTAGTCTCTGTTACTGTGATATCGTGTAGACTTTATTTGATGGCTCTCTTTACTCCTACGAACCAAAAACGGTTGACTAACATATCTGTAGTTCGCCTTAAAAAAGGTGGTAATCGTTACGAGTTGGCATGTTACCCAAACAAAGTGCAAGCTTGGCGAGACAAGCTGTACGTTATGAACTATCAAATTACGCTACAGTGAAACAAATTTAGATGAAGTTTTACAGGCTCATTGTGTCTTCACGAATGTCTCAAAAGGTCAGTTCGCTAACAAAAAGGAAATGTATGTACATTTTTGCACAGAAGATGAAAGACAAATAATAAAGACAGTAGGCTATCGTTATAATATCCCAAGTTTTTAGATACTAGAACATGGAGAATTACAACTCACAGAAAAGGAACGCCTTGTAGGACAACAGGCTTTGTTTAGAGATGTGGCTAAAATAGTGTCTGAAAGATGCGTAAACCCTGAAAACAACCGGGCATACACTGTCACGATGATAGAGAAGATGATGAAAGATTGTCACATATCCCTGAAGGCTAATAAAAGTGCTAAACAACATGTAAGTTTAGTAGCAATTCGAGTCGCTCCAGGCTTTAGAGGTAATTAAACAGTTACGGTCGGCTCCTGGATTTAAAATTGCTCCTTCAATGATGGAAGTGAATATTACCATACAGAAAGACTCATGTGAACCTGTTATCGAGAGACTTTTGCAACTATGCAATGATATCATACAACAAAGTGAATCATCCGATGGACTTTACGACTTGGTTAGTTTGGATTTATCATCTCCGATAAAGTTTATCACCTAATCTGATGTCATCCGTCTTTTTTATGACATGGAACTTCTACTTTTATATATCTGTAGACTTTCCTATACTGTTTGTGAGTAGTCGAATTCCTAAGCTTCCTGACGACTGATATTGTCCAAACGGCCTCCTAGGAGTCATTCAAGAAGAGACTTGACATGTTCTTAAAGGCTCAGGACAGTATTCCACTATAGGATATCACCATTTCTCTTTGGGTCGTCGGGTTCTGGTCTGGATGAATCGGTGATGCACTGCTACTAAATGAGGAAACCTGTTAAGAGGAGAATTCGATTCCACCTCCCACCATTTGAACCATTATTATTTAGAAGTAACACTACTGGTTTGGTATAGAGGCGTTATGTTCCCTAAACTGGAGAGTGAACAAAACCCAAGCAGCTTATCTGGCATCATCATGATGGTTAATCGGTCGCTTCATATTGACATATAAGTTTACTGTTTCATTCACAAATTTGGTATTTCTTTTCGTCTGCTTCAAAACCAGCATTAGCTATATGTATACGTTGACAAAAGTGATGGCTGGCTCAGTACACTTGAAGTTAATTCATAGAGTGTGGAGCTGATACATCGTTAAGTATATCACAAAATTGCAATTTTTGACCGAATTCAGTCAGATATGTTTTGAAATACACAGTCATCCTCCCAAGCCAACGTAACAATCGATACCATTTCCAAGGTCCTTTAGTGTCAGAAATGGGAAAGTGGATATCCCGCTTGGGTTTGACGGTATTTTGGCACACTATCTACAAACATGTCTCTCCATCCTTGTGGAGTTTTTTCTTTACCTTTTGCTTTGACATCATACTTCACCTCATCCCCAACTGGTGCCCTAAAATAAATGCTATTTCAACGTCCAAGTTATGCTTCACATAATACACTATATTTTGTTGACTATGACTGGAATTCTACACTATAGAACTATCTCGTGTCATCGAGGGTGCCGTACAAAATTTAAGAGTGATTATTCGCTTGACTTCGCTCAACCTAGAGGAACGTGTAGGGTTTTTAATCGAAGAATCAATACATGCAGGAGGTTTGCATGAATTCACCAAATTCCGATACGTTTGACTCGTGCAATACGTCTACTTGCCTGTCGAAAATACAGTGAACTGTGCAGTAGTCTCGTGTATTAGCTTATAGCTGCATAATAGCCTATTTCATTGAGTCTGTACAAGCCGGGGGTAATATGATGTGCTAAGTGCATTGTTAAAATGTGCCTCCTGAGTGAGTAATGCTAAAGTTATCGATGTACTAGATAAACTTAATTTATTGGTTAGTCATACTGTAGAGTTTTTTGGGACATTTCACATATGTCTTGTTATTACGTGTCCCAAAATGTTAATGTTGTGGTAAAATAGAACAAGAAACCTAAGATGGTCAGGTCGAGTTTGCTTTAATACTACAGTCAGTCAGTCAGTCAGTCAGCTACATCGTAGGACCAGGCACATATGTGCATCGGTCCAGGTTGTCATACCTCATTAGCACAACAAGATGAACAGCGGATTCATAGGAGTGGTTAGGTCAAAGGTTGCAATAAGGATATAGTATAGGAAGAAAGAATTAGTTCGTAGACAGAAAGAATGAAGTGATTTTAGTCTCTTAGTTTAAGGGAAGACAGGGAGTTTATACACCGACGCCATTGTGATCGATTCTGAGCCATGTCACCAAGAGTCTCCAACCATTGGTTACGAAAGTCACGCGGACCCCAACCAAGTAGTCTGCATCTACCAACATGGTTTAGACTACAAGTTAGTGACTTCAGGCACTGATGCCACGTTTTGGTTTGGCCGCCCCTAACTTTCTTCCAACCATCCCCTACCCCGGTTAGCATTGCACGTCGTGGTAATCGGTGTTCAGGCATACGTAATACGTGGCCCAACTATCTCAGTCGATGAAGATTCATAACCTCATCAACTGATTTACCATCATTCCCTAATACCCTGCGTCTAACCTCACTATTACTTACCCGGTGATCCCAGCAATATTTCTAAGGCATCTGTGGTCAAATACTAGTAACTTACGGGTGTCTTCTACTCTTAAGGGCCATGTTTCGCTGCCGTAAATTATTGATAGACGGATATCTCGCCTTCGCCACAGGTGACGTAAGTTGGCAAAAGCCAAACGAGCTTTTCGAATCCGTGCTGAGATTTCGTCAGACACCAACCCATTAGGGCTGATCAGACCTCCAAGATAAGTGAAGTTGTCAACGCGTTCAACTACTTCACTCCCTATCCTTAGTTCAGGTGTTGACGGAGACCAGTCCTGAAGCAACAACTTGCATTTAGAGGGAGAGAAGCGCATTCCAAATATTCTGGCATTGTTGCTTAGTGTTACCAGAAGACTCTGCATTTCTTCAGCGTCTTCACCAAACAGGACTATGTCATCTGCGTATTCTAAGTCGATAAGTGGACCTCCTGGAAGGAGATCAATACCCGAGAATTCAGTCGACGAGAGTGTTATTTCCATCAATAGGTCTGTGATAAAGTTAAACAAAAATGAAGAAAGTGGACAACCTTGACGGACACCACTTGAGGTTGTAAAAGTAGATGACAGTTCGCCATAAGCCTTGACTCGACTAGTAGTGTTCGAGTAAAGAGCCTTCACAAGGTTTATGTACTTCTGAGGTACGCCTTTCATTGACAGACACTGCCACAGAGTCTCGCGGTCTACCGAGTCAAATGCTGCTTTTAAGTCAAGAAAGACCACCATCGTCGGACGCCGATAGGTATGCCTGTGTTTTAGAACCTGACGAATGGTGAATATGTGGTCGATGCAGCCACGACCAGATCTAAAGCCAGCTTGGTTCTCTCGAGTTTGTAGTTCACGAGTCTTAGTTAGGCGTTTGATAATTATCGAGGCCAGTATTTTAGATACTATGTTTGTTAAACTAATCCCTCTGTGGTTGTCACAGGATGATTTTGACCCTTTCTTATATATTGGGACGATAAGTGATTGCGACCAGTCAGATGGGATAAAGTCTAATTCCCAGATCTTAGCTAAAATATTAGTCAACCTAATCGCTAAAATTGGACCACCATCCTTAAAGACCTCTGGAGCCAATCCATCTGGACCAGCTGCCCTTCCTCGTTTCAGATTAACTATAGCCTTTTGAACTTCAGCAAGAGTCGGGGGACCTACTTCAATGTTCCATTCACACTGTCTGGGAATGGAGGGTAGTTGTAGAGTAGCTGAAGGCCAGCTGAACTGTTCTCTGAAATGTTCCGCCCATCGTTCTAAACGCCTGGACTGGGAGCAGATGAGAGTATCATCTTTTTCCGAAATAATCTCACTTACACTTGACTTATCAATTCCAGTTTCTTTTATTAGTCTGTAAAGCTGTCTTGTGTTCCCTATAGTCGCCGCCTTTTCCATCTCTTTTGCTTTCGTTACCCACCACTGCTCACGGTCGTTCTTTAGACTTTTTCTTAACCTATATCTAATTTGTTTTCGCTCCTCATCATGTTCAGAACCTGATGGGACGAGTTTGCGAGAATCCATCAGTGTGACAGACCTTGAAGAAATCCACTGGTTCCTTGCAACTCTGTGGTTTAAGTCACTAATAGATGTCACTGCTGTTTCCACAGCTGGTTGTATGCCCTTCCAAGCAACATCTGGGTCAGCCTCGTCTTCACAACTACCTAAGTGTGACCTCAGTTGTTCCTGGAACCTACTTTTGGTTTTCTCGTTACTCAACTCAGTTCTAACTGGTCTTTTTAATGTGGCTTTTTTGCGTCCAGTGAGGCGCAAGCAGATGCGTGCCCGTATTAGGGCATGGTCGGAGTCCAAGCAGGTACTCCAGAATGAGCGACAATCTTCTACCGACCCTCTCCAACGATGACTGATGGCAATATGGTCTATTTGAGTTCATCGTTGGTTTGGTGTAGGGGGTCGCCATGTTAGACGATGTCTCTCCTTATGCTTAAAATAAAGGATTGTCTGAGCACAGTTGCAGCAGACGATCACCATTATCTGTTCGCTGTGTCGGAATACTAAAATATCCACCTAAATGCCTTTCTGTTTGGTTTAAACTGCCTATCTGAGCATTAAAATCACCTGCTACGAGTACTATGTCTGAGCGTTTAGCTTTCTGAAGAAATCTATAAGTTTTGATATTAGTTGATATTTTTATTTACCAAATTAACACAATTTTGAGTTCATCTACATTTTTAGTTTTCACTAACACTGATGTTAGTTTTCTGTCGATCCTTCGGTGTACTGATGAAAAGTTTGGCAACTTGGACTAACGCATATTTGTTTCAGGTCCTGGGTTGTTTATGATTTAGACTACATTACATCTATTTTCGCGAACATTCGTTAAATCTTAAAGGCTAAATCAACTTGAATTCCCATACTGTTAGCATGTTAGTATATTTAGTGTGTTTTATTTTGTCGTATTCAAGAAAGCTTCATGTTTTACTTTTAAGACCGCTGTTGTTGAACCTGAGAAATATGGCTCTATCGAAACACTTCTCCACAACGAAATAAAGGGTAAATATTCCATAGAAATTTCCGATGGTACGAAGTGTAGTCACAAAGGACTCACAAATTTAAACTCTGCTTTAACAGTAAAAACAGAAGTTGGGGAAAGAAAAGTTGTGAAAAATGTTCCAGATAAAAATGTTTCATCTCAGTTGAATGACAATAGGATTACTCAGTCATCTGAAGCCTCAGTTTCTGTTGAAAAGAAAGGGAAAAATACATCCAAGAGAAAGAATAAAAAAGGTTCCAAACGTAATGATGATTGGTCTGATGACTAATCTAGCTGATTGTTGTGATGTTAACTTAGTCTTCAACCAGTCGGATTTATAATGATTTGTTTTCTTCTCTACCCTTAATGTGTATCATAAATTAATAAAGTCAATTTTTTATGCTCTGATTTCCCAATTTAAATATCTGACTTCAGCGCCATTCAGGTTACTATCAGTCTATAAAACCTCATTATTACTGAGATACAGTGGACTTCGTATATCTCATTTGATATCGATTATCTAAATGTTAGAGCTTGTTTTTCTGTCACTTCACGCAACCGGACTCATTGATATCTACATGCTTAAAGGCTAACCGAAAAACATATGAATTGAGAGCTAGCGTGTTTTGGTAGCTTTGCATTCGTTTGTCATTGTAATGCGATAAACCATATTTGTAGGAGCTTTTAACCACTTAAATAACCAGACTTTGTAATTAAAAAAGGATATTCAAACCAGTTATTCATAGACCTGCAAGCAAAGTTAGGCTGTCTTCTTGCCATCCTTAATAATACAGTAAACGTCAGTAATGTCAAGCTTGGTTCACTGTTCGTGAGAACAGTTCTCTAGTACATAAGGAAAGTCTGTTTTAGAATGATCACGAATTGAACGAATATGCGTTCTTACCTACAAAAGCTGTTTTCTAAGTCAGCCCTAGAGGTCAAATCCTTTTCCATTTCTAGTGATAATATTAGATGCTTATGTAAATAGTTCTCTGGACATCTTTAGATCGGTAAATCTTGTTGATGTGTTATGGAATTTCGATTTCACAGATTCGTTTATTTTTACCTAAAGAAATGTCATGTTTATCCTAGGAATCGCTCAGTTGTAAATGACGAAACTGAAGATATATCTTCAGAATGCTATGTTTATCATTTCTAGTAGCTAGTTATTCATACGCTCAGACAAACTCTTCGAAAGCGGCGAGACTCTAATTTAGAGACGAGCCGATCAGATGCGTTTGAGCAATTTCAAGGTCACGGAGCCAAGTTCAACACGCGATGCTAACGTACAACCTGCTCACAGCGGATTTTAGAGAGGTGATTAATGAGAGGTTACAACATGTGAGACGGCTAGACTCTAATTTAGGGACGAGTCAGTGAGAAGCGTTTGAGCAATTTCAATTATTAGCCTATCAGAAGACAGTATCAAGTAAAAATATATTACAAGAAAGTAATGAATTACAGTGGATATTCTTCTTTTACATGAATAAAATACTTGTTAAGATTAGATAGAGGCTCAGAAGTTCTGAATTCAAAATGCATACGGAATAGGAACTCGTGCATAGGGTTAAGGTTAGGCTGCTAACATGAGTTTCTATACCATATGCATTAAGAATTCAGAACCTCTGAACCTTTATCAAACCTTAACAAGTTTTTAAATCATGTAAAAGAACAATATCCACTGTAATTCATGACATATTTTCACTGTATACTAAGTGTCCTCTGATTGGCTAACGATTGTCAAGGTCATTTTAGATTCGTTCAGAGGTCGTCCCTAAACTAGTCTCGCTGCTTGGGTTGAGTTCTGAGAGATGTTGGACTAAGGATTGTGAACTTGCTTGATTACAAGACAGTGATCTAAGGTCTAAGCTATCAAAATTTAGCTTTATGAAGTTCAATATCGGTGTGCGGTTCTACTAATTGTCTGCACTGTGAAGCCCACGAGGACAGTCGGTACTGTGGTTGGTCCCTTTTAAATGACGCCAAGGTCATCCTTGAAATAGCTCAGGGTCACGGCCATGATTTGGTTTCTTGTTCACTTCCTGTAGCCAAATTAGCTGAGTCCACTCAAGGTCGTCTTAGCACTAGATCATGTTGAAGTCCTGTGACCTGCTGATCATGATCAGAACTGCAGTTCTGTGAACAAGGATTTATTGATAACATTATTGTTTTAAACTTTTGTGACGATTACAATAAGTAAGGAATTTCCCCGACATACTAAAAAATATGGTTTTATCAGTCTTTATCCGAGCTCTCACTTTTGGGGGAAATTTGGCACATTTTGGGGAAATGGCACAAAAACCCCGAAATTTCCCCAAATTTGGGGAAGTCTATTTCACTTTGGGGATTTCCCCAAGGTTGGGAACTTGGGTAGTACTAAGGATAGTAGGGTGGTGAACCAGTGTTAATCTAAGAAAACAAATGGATTTCCCCCAAGTTTTTGGAATTTCTGCGGATATATTTAGAACCCAAAATCGAGAGATCGAAGTTAACCTCGATATTACGTGTTGATCTACAGGACTTTTATTGTGATCTGTTCAACTCTATAGGAGTTGGGCAGACATAGCAGACTGTTCGTTACTTCCCATTTGCACCTGAGTTTTAGAAAGAAGATTATTGCTCGGCTACTGTATTATAAAAATATCTCACTGTATCTGAGTGGCTTTCCACAGTTAATCTCAACCAACTGGGATCTCGCATGGTAGCAAGACCCAGTTATTAGTTCGTGGAATGTTCAATCTAGGTGATTTGATTAGTTACATTCTCATTTTCCAGTTTATTTGTATCCCTTAGACTTCCCTATCATTTCAGATAGTTGTTTGCATGTATTTATTTACTTTAGAAGTTCCCGTTCGTTTATCTGGCTGACAACTTGAAGATTTTATGCTTGTCCAATGTTTATGAAGCATGAATATATATTATTATGATTTTTCTTGATTCACCCTTACTATCAATTTAAGTGGACTCCTTACTGATATTAAATTATTTAGATGGTTGTGGACAGAGTAGAAATTTTTTTACCAAACATGCTTTTGTATCTAGTAGCAATGGGTCAGCGGTGCTCCAGATAGAGATTTAGGTACTGTAAACAAACAGTAGAGAAGTAATATTGAATTAGTGTTATATGCTATCATGGGACCTTAAGAATATATCAAGTTTCATCTTGAATGTCTCCTGGAAAGTCGTTCGAACTACCTTAGTCGGCGGCGAATTCCAGGACTTGACTAATTTTAAGGTATGTCTACAATCCATCTTTCTATATTGTACCTATAATTTCTGGGTATTAATCCTCAGGTTTGTGTCGGGACTGGACCTAAGTAGGTATCTTTAAGGGTGTCTAAGTTTTCAAGATGGTACAAGTCATTAAAAGATCACCTCTTAGTTGCCAATACGTAAGTTGGTATCGATCTTTTTCGACCTGAAACAATTAGAGATCATTGCCTAGGTTGTATTGTTAGTCTTTCTTAAGTTCCAGCTTATAATCCCGGTTATAAACGTCTCTCCAAAGCTTATCGTAGTAAGCGAAAAGGAGTATTTCGGATGATACTTGCAGAGGAAGGTCATTCCTACAAGTTTGAAAGGAAAGAGGTCCTAGTACCGAATCCTGAGGGGCTTCATCAAGACGTTCTGAGGCCAGAGAAAAGTTAAACTTGAAAAGCTTGAAAATTCGACTTTGTGAATATGAGTTATATCAGTCTATATGTGGTGGTGTTCTCTCACGAAATCGTAATGTTGGAGTATAAAAAGTTCTCCAACGTTGGAAAATGAAGCCTTTAAAATGCTATATTATCTATGCTTCTGTCCTATACCTTTTTATTTGATTTGTTGCTGCTAAATTACTCAAAGCATGTAGTTTCATTGCCAACACGGGATTTGTAGAGTAAGACAGTCCGTCAGGTGATTTTGGGTTGTCATTGTTCACGTTCAAAAATTCCAATTAGCAAAAAAGTATGGGAAAGTTTCGTTGCGCTACTCTGGTGCTTTTTTTAACAATCTCACTTAACCTATTTTCTATGTTTAATAAACGGACCACTATAAGAATTCTCGAACTACCTAAAACGACTTTTGTTCTGGCTGATATGTTTTCCTGTCTTTATCTTGATCTCGTCAGTGTTGTTAAACGAGTTATTGTTGTATCATTTTGTACATATTCTGTTAACGTTTTTAAAATTCAACGTAGTGCCCAAAGTATCGATCACGGGTATTTCAGAATACTAGAAATAAAATAAAGACACCCAGAATATATCTCATTAATCTTTTTAGTTACTCAGTATACTTTAAGGCTTTTAATGGCCCTCCATGGCTCAGCTTGCTCAAGATCTCATCTATGGGCCTGCAAAAGAAATAATCTGCAGATCACTACAAGGATCTAGTTATGAAATTTACACTGAAGTTAGTTTATCAGAATCACCGAGTAATCAGCCTAATGATTTGAATCAAGTATGACGAATCGTAAATCATTTTGGCTAGAAACAATACAAAAACTTGTCCATATTTTTAACTTGTGGTGACAAACCGTATAGAATCAAATGAAATAGGTGCGAATATATAGCTCATATAGTAGTGCATTCAGGTGTATTATTATGTGAAGACATTTCGGATTGAGATTAAATTTCAGCTATATTGTCATGGCTCTTCAATACTCAGTAACCATTTTCCAAATACCAGCTAGATCATCAATAGTTTGGTCTATCACAAACCAGCGGATAGTTCATGGATCGATAGCGTGTTTTATTTTGATGTTGGAGTTTGCGTTTAACTGTAGTAAGCATGAAACCTCGAAGTGGGTATTGTTTTAAACTTTTTAAGATTTATTTCAATCTTTTTGAGTTAATGCTCTTTACCCTGTTGCTTACGTTTACTCAAAATAATACATGACCATTTCATAGCACTATTTATTTATTATTTTTCTTCACATAAGTGCTTTTTGTACGCAAGTGTGTCATCTGTTATAGTTCTTTTGAAAATTTTACTGTTTTAGGTATAATTACAACATGAGTTTACTAAGAAATGTTCATCATGTTCGATTCGCTACCAAAAGTTTATGGCAGACTTGTAAAACACTAATAAAAGGTTTCGGTTTCACGCTCCACTGTTTGTTCAAATGCGGTTCAGAAATAAATCTAGTGCTAAAAAGTAATCAATCGGTAATAATGCTTAGCGAAATCAAAACATTGTCCAGTGTTCATCACCCATTTAAGTACCATTCAGAAATCAGTAACTGGTATACAAAACGTGATGGACCATGTGACATTGCTTTAGAAGTAGTTGACGTGTATGAAGTTTGTGAAAGGGTTTCCCGGTTTTCTGGGTTTGAGAACATTCTTTTGGAACCTACTACTTATGCTGATTATGATGGAAAAATTGTTTTAGGAGTAATCAAGTCATGTGTTGGGGATTTGCTTCATACGATAGTTGACTCGTCACAGTATAAAGGCTTGTTTTTGCCTGGATACACATCGGGACAGAGTGCAAATGATGACTTAAAGGAAGCACTAAATAACAATGGATCGAATCCCAATTCTTTTGTGAAATATACTGACCATATAGCAATCGCTGGGGATATTGGAGATTCAGATACTTTTATGAATTGGTACAAAACAGTATTTGGAATGAAACGCATATTCATTAATATGTGAGTTACTTAATAGTTTATGATCATTTATGGATGCTAAAACAGACAGGATGATGAATCCCAAGGGTTTATAGTAAAGTTCAAAAATACTGGAATGATGTTGAAGGCAGTTTGTCATAAAGATCCAACTTCGAATTCTGATTATCGTAATGCATGCAAATTTGTCTTTGTTGAGCCCACGAAAGATTCAGGTATGTTGCGTAAATGCATTAAGCTTCATTGTTGGTTGGTTTTTCAATTATAGATATTTTTTGCATATTAATATATATTCACAAGAGATAAGTTTTATCATGACTTTATGTCAGGCTAGTTATCACGTGATTTATCCACCAATCAGAATACGACTTATGCAATCTTAGCACTGTGCCAAACTAATGACGATCGACCGGTATAAGCACCTTAGCGTCCTTATTGGTCCTATGTCCGCCTAGCCTGTCCACTTGAGTCCAGAACACCAATACCAGCTTCCAATATGTGAATCGAATCATTTATTTCAGAAATACTGGGTTTATTTATCAACCAAACAGACCGCGGCGCATAATAAAATAGAAAATAACATTTGTACACAATAAAGCCCAAAGTGGCTGTGAACGTGGGAGACAGTAGTCAATAAACTGAGCATAGCTTACGAGCAGTAAATCATACAATGATAAATTATAGGTCAAAATGAAGCTTATTATAAGAGGAATATAAATATACATAATCCAATTATTGAATAGTTATACCATAAGAATATATTGATAATATTAGTCAATTAATATGTCTCAGAAGTTACTCGTGATTTGATCTTCGCTCGGATATAACAAGTTTGGTAGTGATAAAATGACTGTTAAAGAATCAACAAAAATCGTCCGTTTGTTTGGTATTAGTTTTAGCGACAAAAAAGGGTGTTTAGTGGTTGTTACTGTCATGCTACCCACATTGTATTTAATTTTAACCTATTTATCTTTAATGTTCGACAATAGTCCCAGAAAACGTGTCTCGACCGTTGTTGCTACTTTGACGTGGTGGTCGGGCTTGCCTATCGTGATGAAGCAACCGAGCTATACTGGCTGGAACAACCGTTCCTCAAGGTCCTACCATGTCAGACAGGTCGGTTGAAGAGCGGTAAGACTAAAAGCAACAAACCCAAGGTCCGAAGGCGAAGTCGTACTGCTGACTGTACAGAGGTGTGACGGCAGTAAGGTGTTTCCTTCAGACAACCAGCATGACAGCGATGCTGCCTTCCCACAAGGAGGGGTGGGGTTAGAAAAGGTCGACCCTAAAAATGCACACCTCACCTTACCTCACGGATTTCCGTCTCCGGCGGTAAGGCCCTTTGAAGAAAGGAGCACGGATTCGAAAAGCTCGTTTGGCTTTTGCCAACTTACGTCACCTATGGCGAAGGCGAGATATCCGTCTATCAATAAAAGGACGAGTGTACTGCGCGGCAGTCCGTTCTGTTTTACTTTACGGCAGCGAAACATGGCCATTAAGAGTAGAAGACACTCGTAAGCTACTAGTATTTGACCACAGATGCCTTAGAAATATTGCTGGCATCTGCTGGGATCACCGGGTAAGTAATAGTGAGGTTAGACGCAGGGTATTAGGAAATGATAGTAAATCAGTTGATGAGGTTATGAATCTTCATCGACTGAGATAGTTGGGCCACGTATTACGTATGCCTGAACACCGATTACCACGACGTGCAATGCTAACCGGGGTAGGGGATGGTTGGAAGAAAGTTAGGGGCGGCCAAACCAAAACGTGGCATCAGTGCTTGAAGTCACTAACTTGTAGTCTGAGCCATGTTGGTAGATGCAGACTACTTGGTTGGGGTCCGCGTGACTTTCGTAACCAATGGTTGGAGACTCTTGGTGACATGGCTCAGAATCGATCACAATGGCGTCGGTGTATACACTCCCTGTCTTCCCTTAAACTAAGAGATTAAAATCGCTTCATACCTTCCTACGAACCAATTTTTTCTTCTTGTACTATATCTCTATATGCAATCTTTCTCTTATATATTACCACCTTTGACATAACCACTGCTATGAATCCGGTGTTCATCTTGTTGTGCTGATGCGGTATGGCAACCTGGACCGATGCATATATGTGCCTGGTCCTACGTTGTAGCTGACTGACTAGAAAATGTGTAAATGAGATCAAGCAACATATTCTTAAAATATTTTGTGTTGATATATTCGTCTTACCACTAAACTAAATTTACCGGAGCACACAAAACATTGGTGGAGGTAGGTAGAATATGTAGCTCTCTAAATATTCAGGTGGTACTATTCGTAATCGATTGCAACAAAGTTGATGTTTTCATACTTTATCGGGCGCTTTAAGTATAGAATTTTCATTCTGTGCATCCACTTGTGCTTTTTTAAACATATTTTTTGCCTGTTTTTACATGACAGCTTTAGGATATTGATAGAAAAGTTAGTTTTTTCCTGTTCCTTATATATGTTTGTATTATAAAATCAGTTTTTTGTGACCCATGACCAATCAACTGTATATTTCAGTATGATAGTTTACTTAATTTTGTCAAAGTTCGTAGATTGTACAAATGGATTGGTTAGATTTCTGAAATTTAAGACAAGGTTTGAGATTATTTTAAGACGAAACGGATCTACTGTAACTAACTAGATCAAGTGGCTAAAACAGAACAACACTTCAACAATGATAATCTATGTGTGAATAGGTGGAAGAGAAAAAAAGGACTTTCATGAGAGTTTTTATGTCCCAAGAGAAGACATGAGTAAACACCGCAGTATTTATGGCACTGTACAGTGGAAATTAATAAACAAAAATAGACTTGGACGAAGTAAAGTTGCAACATTACAAAGATTAAGGTGTAAAAGCTTACAATAACTATGGTTTTGGTAGCAACAACAACAGGTCTCGATATAATACTGTTTTTGGTCAACCGTAATAAATCATTTTATGGTTACTATGAAGTAATATTTAAAAAGCATGTATTTTACAAGAGAATGCGTAATTCTTAACGGACTCTCATTCATGCATAGGTTCACTTACTTTTTAAGGCTTTTAGCGCTTTAATTTTTATGTCCTGTGTGGAACAACAATTCCCTTCAAATCGAAATTTTTGTCCCTGTAAGTTGTTTGAAAAATACTTTCCCAGTTGCACAAAGCACCCAGTTTTTATGTTATAAAACCCTTTTAGTTACTTGTACAATGCTAATTCTACTAGTCTTCAGTATTGGTTAGCATTAACATGTTCATTATAATATTCAGGGATCAAAATGCAGTTCGTACATTTTTTTCATTCGATTAACGTGAAATATGTTTATTTACATATATCAAAATTTACTAGCTGACTGGGATAGGATTGGATTAAGAAGTCCTATGAACGGATTAAGTGAAACCTAGCATCAGTTCATAAAGTCATCTGCTGTTGCTGTTGAGTTAAATTTGTAGGTATTTTATTTATTTATTTAAACACATTAGCATTGGTACAAGGAGACACCGAATATACGGCTAGGATACTACTCGGGCACCCAAACTGAAACAGGTGGCTTTCTAAGCAGGCCACTACCCCAGCCTTTGACCTAGAGGTCCGATCCTCAAGGCGGTGGAACATTACGAGAAGTAGTCCCATAGTAGCCAGTGTCCAAAAGTAGGTTCATACGCCTTTTGTTCCCTCAGAATCCTGGAGACCATGTTCACCATCGGTTTGGAATCAGGGTTTTCCAGCCTCCTTAGGTAGATCCTTCATATCCACCAACCCGGTTAGAGCGCCGGGCGTTAGCCTTTGGTCGTCTCAACTTCGCAAACAACACCGCATCCGCGAGAAGTGAGTGAGTAGGACTTTGCACTGACTGTATACACGTGGCCATGTGAGAGCATCTCGAGAAGGAGAGCGAACTCTCCCCACCGTCAACCGTACCATCACATTTGGGGACAGGTCAGTCGGTTCATAATTCTAGCTTAGGAAGAGCTCATTAATTTTAAGCTCTGGCCTAAAATTTTGGATGTTATAACCCAGAATTCGTTGTAGTGGTTCCGTTGCATCCATTTATTTCCTTACTGTGAATTATGATTTTAGTGCCATTTAATTATTCCATTTCATTTGTTCCTTTTAGACTACATTTCTCGTATTTAGTTTCTACTTTAACTGACATTATTAGCTCTACTTATTTACTATCCATCATTTGAATTTGCTTTCACACTATGTTAATGTGAAGTTTGTCGACTTGGGCGTATACACATACGTAGCAGGTCTTATATTGTTTGTTAACAATTCATTAGAAACTACATTAGCATCAATGTTTTCAATTTCAGTGGTATTTTCAAAACGAATTTTAAAGATTGATAAAGATTTAAAAGGTGCACACTTCCGTATTAATTTGTTCAACAAAATTTCCTAATAAATAATCTTATTAAAAAGGAAGAATGTATTTGTAAAATCTCAGCGAACTAATTTGAAGTAAATCCGACGTTTCGCCTGGTAATCTTACTTACTTACGCCTGTTACTCCCAATGGAGCATAGGCCGCCGACCAGCATTCTCCAACCCACTCTGTCCTGGGCCTCCTTTTCTAGTTGCATCCAATTCTTGTTCATTTTTCTCATGTCTATTTCCATTTCTCGGCGTAATGTGTTCTTTGGTCTTCCTCTTTTCCTTTAGCCTTGAGGATTCCATGTGAGGGCTTGTGACGCAGTTGGGGCCTGATAATCTAGTTTAATAATTTTGATGTTTGACTATATTTCCTTGAAAGAGCTTGGACTAGATTAACAAGCGAAATGTTGGATTTAATTCAAATTCATTCGCTGAGATTTTACAAATGCATTCTTCCTCTTTAATGTCTCACATCAACTCGGCTACCAAATACTGTGAAACTATTCAATCAAATTTAGACGAAAGTTCTTATAAATAACCTTACATAAGTGAAGATTCATCCTTTTTACACCTAACTTACTAACTGAAGTTGTTTTTTATTGCTGTAGAACCTAGTCAAGTGACTCGATTTCTACAAGCTAATTCAGGTCCAGGCTTACAACACATGGGACTCGCCATTGATAACATTATAGATGTAGCAGCTACCTGTCATCAAAATGGTATAAAATTTATCACTGCTCCAGACGTCTATTATGAAGCTGTAAGTTGTCTTGGAAAAAATTCTCAATTCTCATGTTATTAGTCATTTTTAATACGTAGTCCATCAGTAAAGTACCTATTGTTAACAGCCAAACAATCAGATATGGACAACAGTTTATAAGATGCGAATTGACCCGATTTCTTACCTGTACATTAATCACTTCGATCAAAATAATTGTAAACATTGGATGTATTGGCTACTAATCACTAAGTTATCGAGCTGTTGATCGGCTCGGTTTTAAGATTGAAATTTATTATTATTTATGGAGTAGATGATGCACTTTGCAAAAACATAAGTGCATGAATTTATTTTACTTTGAAATGTAACTCCATGATGCGGAAAAGGTGTTTTCAAATATTATATGTAATATAATTGTCACCTCTGTTGAGTCTGCGGTCCTACCGCTTATACTTGGAAAACGGAACTACTATTATTCCCACGACTCAAAGTGTTAACATATAAACTGATACAATAAAAGGTTTATTTATCGATTATCCAAAACACGACGTCCACAGAGTCCAATGTCTCAATATAGGGGACTTGGTACTAATATGGGATGGAACGGTGGTTTACTAGGTAAAATACTGTTCGACTAAAGGCTCAAATCCCCCACTACATACTTCGATTTGAGTGGTCTCATAATATTACTAACCTGTCACACAAACAGTGTCTCAAAGCTGAACACCTAAACTCTGATTGACAAACGCTTTTTCTTACCTTTTTTCAGTAGTAATATGAGCTGAAGTAATAAGACAAGAAAACAATTTTCTGAGTATTTATAACCATAAGAGCAAACTTTTTAAAAACATATAGGATGCTTTAATTTTCATATAGCATACTCTTCAGTAAGATTTAGCAAAACCTTTATCGTGGTATTTATTCATGTTCAAACTGGTCAAATGGATCTGTGAGTAATGAGGCTCACGGGATAAACTCAACCAGCAGTTGTAGACGTTGAGTGGTGTAGCTCAGAATTGATCATTCTTTATCTTTCTTTGGATTCTGAATTCTATTAATCGTACATACATATATTTTTGTTTTGATATATATTCTTAATACGTTGTTTCGACTCCTTTAATATTCATTTGTAACTTTAATCTCGTCGTTGTTGTATGCCATGGCAACTTGGACTAATATACATCTATTCTAGGGTCTACGTTGATTATGTCCAGCTGATTAATCTGTGAGTAGTTATCTCTAGACCGTTTTGTCGTTGGATAATAAACACATGTCAGTTAGTATCCAAGTTCAGAGTTGTAATTGAATTCAGTTTAAATCAAGCATTGCTTTCTTCCATATGACAGACTATTATATATTTTTCAAACAAGGCAAAAAATCATTTTGAATAAAATCTGTTTTAGTTATCTCAGCGTATCAACTTGAAAGAATTTTCTTTGGATTTAGAAAAACTTAAAACAACTGGCATACTTGTAGATAAAGAATTAAACAATGAAGGTTATCAAATAGGGTAAGTAAACATAATAAAGATTTTTTTGTTAAGCCTATACAATTTACCATAATGTTGAGGTTGATGTGAACAGAGAAACAAGAAGCCTTAACAAACAACAGAAGCTATTTTTGAGGACGTTATTTCATTTAATTCAAAGCTTGTAGAATACTAAAATTTATTTTTGTCCCTAGTTTATTCTACAGACCATAAGCTTTCTTTTGATATATGATTTATTACCATAACCTTTTTTGTTGCGAAGCTGTTGTAATTTAAACATAATCTTTTGTACTCGATTTTCTACCTTAATCCTCAGTTTTGGACGTAGTTATATTTTCCCAATTGTTTCTGCGTTGTGGTCATGTTAGTCATCTATTTCTTCATGTATCTTTTTACACTAATCTGAATCGGGACCAAATCGGAAAAAAGAATAAATAAAATACTGTTCTAGTTAACTCCTCTTTTCTCTCGGGCGCGCTTGTCAGCTAATCACGTGATAGAATAGTTTTCGTTTCTCTACGCTCAAGCAGTTAGTTTCACTTCGAGCTCACGCTTACTAACCTCAGGGTTAAACCAACCAGTCATCTTGTCAAGGTCTTAATCTAGATTGAGACAAGCTATCTTCTACATATTAGTGGGTAGACAGATCAAGGAAGTAACAGAAGTATTGCTCATGGTAATTTTAACTTAACTGTTAGAACTTATAAATTTCAAATATTACCCTCCATGTTTAAACCTTACTTTATCAAAGTCAATGTCAACAACTGGAAAGTATCACTACATTCTTCATTCACAAAATCGAATGGACTAGCTTGAATATTTGTTTATTGTTTTACCACAACCTATTCTTTTTTTTTAAAAAATTGTTTTATGATTTCACTTATTATCTGTATCAAATTAACTTTGTTTATTTAAACAAATCCTTATATCACTTCATCGTTATCATTAGATTATGATATAGATATTACTCAAGCTAGCTCTTAATATCGTCCATATCACTTTAATGAACAAAGACAAATAAATTTACTCGTATTTATTTTAACAAAGTTAGGCAGTTAAGAATCGAATGGATTTGAAATTTATTGTATACGTTACTGAATAACAAAATGAGAATTCAGCGAGGAAAATTTTTTTTCGACGAAATCATTTACTTAAGCTGTACATTCGTATATATAGTTATATGGAAAAGGTATGTCTATAGAAGGATAGAAAGGATTGTATCACAAAAATGGATTCGAGAATAAATAACAAATGAGCTTAACGTACTAATCAAGGTGTAAGGAAGAACAGAATTTATGGGGTCAGATAATAGTCCAGTTGACAGATATGTAGAAAAGCGGCAAATAACAAAGGTCATAATGATAAACTGAAAACTTGTATAAGGTAATAATAATAAATGATTAGTTTTTTGTCTGGGCGACATAACACTAAGTCCTGATTTCTCCGAAGACCAGATAATTGAGATTTATGTTCTTTTGTGAGTAATCGATTAATTGCAGGTGTGAAGCTTGCTCATACAAGGGAGCAGGAATTTTCCTTATGGATCGTCTTGACTATGTTACCAAAATATCTTCGATATTATCTGATCCTGTCAAATTCTTTATTGAGACCATTCAAAAAGACACAACTCAAAAAACTGAACAGATGCTAGTTAAAATCTTAAGAAAATGAAAGATGATTCTATTATCAATTGTGACCTCAATGAACACCTCAAACTACGGGTTCCGTTATACCAAGACTATATGAACTCCCAAAAGTTCATAAGAATAATGTCTCACTACGTCCTATACTTAATATGAACAACTCTCCTTATCACTTGATCGCTAAATGGTTAGTTGACATTTTACATCCTGTTAAAAATCATATCAATAAATACAATTCTCTTGACTCCTTTGAATTTGTCGACTCAATTAGAAACATCAACGTAACCGGTAAGAAAATGTTCTCATTAGATGTCACTTCTCTTTTTACAAATGTTCCTCTCACAGAAACCGTTTGTATTTCATGTGACTATATTAAAAACAATAATATTGATATGTGTATCCCAAAACATTACCTTAAAGAACTACTACTACGATGTACGCTCAACGTGCAATTTAGATTTAATGATGTTTTCTATAGACAAATAGATGGCGTTTCAATGGGCTCTCCATTGGGTCCTCTTTTGGCGGATTGTTTCATGGCTAATCTAGAAAATTCAGTACTTCGACCAATAATTGAGAGATTTCATTTATATGAGAGATATATAGATGATACTTTCATTATTTGTGAAGAAGACATGGACCTCAATGAATTCTTGAATATTTTCAATAATTATCACCCATCAATTCAATTTACCTTAGAAGTAGAGGCAAACAATGAATTTCATTTTCTTGATGTCCGATTAAAAAGAATGTCTGACGGATTTTAACAAAGATCTATATACTGAAAACCAACTTGGAATGGCCAATACACGAACTTCCATAGTTGGGTTCCATTAAGTAGAAAAAGGAACTTAATTCACTCTTTATCCTCTAGGATCAAGTGAATCTGTTCTAATGACACAACAGATGGGGAACTATTTCATCTTTGACAGACCCTCATCAAAAATGGTTATCCACTGAGATTCGTTGATAGCAACTTGGCACCCAGACTTCATGACAAAACATCGACAGTAGAGAAGAAAACTCTATTTATGAATATGGAATTTAAAGGAGACACGGCTGCTGAAATCCTAAATAAACGGATTTCGAAATCATTGAATAAAACATTCTACTCAGCTTAGCTCCGAATCGTTTTCTCTAGCCGACCTACCATTCTGGGAGGTGTTAAGGAAAAACTTCCACTTTGGGCCACATCGATGTGCATATATAAATTTACTTGCTCATGTGGGGCAAGTTACATAAGCCGCACAAAGCGATCATTATCCAAACGCATCTCGGAACATTATCTGGCCTGGTTCTTAAAAGGGGAACGAAAAACAATCACTAGTTCGATACAGGAGCACTTAATTAACTGTGGACACATCGCTCCAAAGGACTCTCCATTTAAGGTAGTCTACAGAGTCAAAGGAACCGGATCGAAGGGGGTTCGAATCAATATTTTATGCACCGCAGAGGCATTGGCAATCCACAAACTCAAGCCTGGACTTTGCGTGCAGAAACGATTTGTCCAACCTCTCATCCTTCCTTGGCCTTAATTCCTTTAATGGGTATGTTTCGGTGTTGTTTTTTTGTTGTTTTTCTGCACTTTCATTTAATTATTATCGATATTTTTAAAATTACTATTTCGCACTTTAAACTCTAATCATTTATTATTATTACCTTATACAAGTTTTCAGTTTATCATTATGACCTTTGTTATTTGCCGCTTTTCTACATATCTGTCAATTGGACTATTAGAACAACACATATAAGCGAACAATTGTTTTCAATTAGATCGTCAACAGGCTTTACTCTAATATACATGAATATTGGACTATTATCTGACCCATAATTTCTGTTCTTCCTTACACCTTGATTAGTACGTTAAGCTCATTTGTTATTTATTCTCGAATCCATTTTTGTGATACAATCCTTTCTATCCTTCTATAGACATACCTTTTCCATATAACTATATATACGAATGTACAGCTTAAGTAAATGATTTCGTCGAAAAAAAATTTTCCTCGCTGAATTCTCTTTTTCTTATTCAATGACACTATGGGTTATTTTAAGCATACGTTACTATTGTATGTTTATTTGTCAGTATTTTATTTTCTTTTGTGAAAGAATGAGCTGTGGTTTTTGTTGTTGGAAAAAAGTGAAAATTTCTGTTAATTAAAGTTTAGGTTTCTTGTTTACGAGTTTGAAAGTATAATCAGTTTAAAAATAGTATAAATATATTTAAAACAGGAAATACTTTTTGGACTTCCCAAACCCTATGTCTAATGACTTGCGACAATAAAGAGATTAGTGAGGTATATTTTCTGTTGTATGCATTATCGAAACTTTATTTATTTTAACATATAGATATTGTTACAAGGAGGCACCAAATACATATGCGCCACACAAACCTCATTCGTTATGTGTGAGGGCTGTGATACTGCCCTGGTGCCCAAACCGAAGCAAGTTGTTTTCTTAGGGGGCCACACTCGGAGCCTCCGACCTGAAGGTCTGATCCACAAGGCAGTGGAGCATTGTCCCATGGAAGCCAGTGACCAACAACTGGTTCATACGCCATTTGTTCCCGCAGGATACTGGAGCCCTTGTGCACCATTGGTTTGGAATCCGGTTAAAGCGCCGGACATTCGCTTTTCGTGCTCTCATTTTCGTAAACATCACCCCCGCCACGAAAAGGTAGTGAGTAGGACTTCCATGGCAGGGGCTATATATGCGTGGTTATGTGAGGGCATTTCGAGAGTGAGAGCGGACTCTCCCTACTCTCGGCCGTACCGGGGCATTTGGGGGCATTATCGAAACTACAATGAATGGATCATAATTTTCAATCTATCTGTTGTATCTTAATATGTTCATCTGCTTAACCAACCACACTTCGTTTTTCTTTCTCCTTTTTCTCATACATGAATGTTTAGAAGTCTACTACAAATATTTACTGAACCATTGTTTCAGAAAGATGGGTTTTTCATGGAATTAATTGAACGTCGTAATCAGTCAACTGGTTTCGGTGAAAATAATATCAATGCTTTATGGGAAGCATTGGAAATATCACAAACATTGTAAAATTATTTAGTCAATTGTATACCATCAGTTTAATATTTCATTTTTAGTCAGTTATGTTATAGAGTATCATATTGTTTTCTTTATCCCACTGTTTATCGCCTCGCTTTCCATCGGCACTTGAGAAATAAGATGCAGTTTTATACTTACTTAACAGAGAACAACAGATATAGACTGAAAAAAATTAATACATGGTTCGAATATGTAATTGTTGTCTTATTTTCAGTTTAATATTTAAAGGGAAATGTAAAAGGTAGTTTTCGTCACGAATGGACTGTATAAATCCTACTTTGCATCTTTTCTATGCACTTGCTCCTGTAAACACTTGTAAATGTGTAAGTCTAATTGGATGCAATATTTGTATAATTATCAGAAATCTAGCATTACATATTTATTAACCACTGAATACACTCTCTACCTTACCGAATAGATTGGTTTTGGTTGCGTAAACTATGTTTAATGCTTGATAGTTCTATTTCTATACAATAATATTCAGTTCTGTGGAGTTAATAAAATAAGGTTAGGAATAATGTAGGAAAGCTTTTCTTTGTCATCATGCTAAACATACTATAAATAACAGAGAACTGTTTGGCGAGTCGAACCAGTTAGCTTCATTCAAAATATAGGTTCATTTAATAGATTTTACTGTTTTCTTCTTAACATTTTTACAGTTTCTGAATATTAGTAGATAGCATTCGAATTTTATCTCCGGTTATTTTGTTTTGTAAGGAACTTATCAACAGAATGTAATTACACCATAGTAATTTAGAACATTAACGTAAGTCAGTGGGAAATTTTAAATCACCAATCTACTTCGTCGAAGAAGCACTAATAACTATGATATGTAGTCAGAGGTCTGATTTCTTAAAAATAATGCATACTCACAAGTGTATTTGAGTAGTATCACTCATTGACTGTGTTTTATTAAAAATGAATTGAGAAAAAAAACATTGCCAGTTTATATTTATTGGATGTTTGAATCTTCCCATTAATGTTTAGGATTACAATTGACCACCCGTTTTTAGCATATGTGGCTTTTGTGCGGATTGCCTCGATATTATCCTTAATTCACGAGTATTATGACCAGAGGTGAGGGATGTCTATCAGTGGGGTCCAGGACTCACGTTTCGTCCCGTTTGCGACTCTTCAGTCGGATGTACCTGCATCTCAGCGTTAACGTCCATTTCCGAACTTAGAACTTATGACTTTGTAGCAACATTGTTTCAGATAGTTTATCCTCTTTTGTTACTTGGTGTTTCTTTCATCTAAAAAACGTCCAAACTGTCTTTAATATGTCTAAGTTGTCATTAGTCTACCGATTCGAATGTAATCTTTTAAACGAAAGTAAAAATGTTTTCGAATATCAGTAACATGACAAATAATATGAATATAAAGAAAGTTTGACCATCAACTAGTTAAATAACTCGAAAATAAGTAAGAATTAACTATACGATATGTCTTAAGGTTTGTAATTTTCGGTAAATTTGAATTCTGATCCCCAGTGCTATCCATGATACCTTCTTTGCCCTATTCGAAAGTTGTCAAATGAGTGTACCTTCATTCTGAGGTTTGCATTTATGCTGAGTCTTGAGCCCTGAAGCTATCACTTCAAGTGCCAACGGGTTATGTGTGAGCGAATGAATCCGAATGATCACTAGTTCAACCGAAATTATAATGCATTTGTTGACATACCTAGCTACTCATCATGTTCCTCAATACAAAGTTTTAGTTACAAATTTTAGTGTCTTTAGCTTGCAGGTAGCAGTGGGATCTAGTGTCTGCGTTTCTTTTTATTTGAGATTGATCAGATGAATGTAAATTGACCCTAGAGTTCTCATAATCGGGGACCCAATATTCTTTCTGTAGTAAAATGATCGTCCTGCAATCTACTACCGACGTTTTTTAAATTTGAAATTCGCGAATTGTATCTTCGGTATAAAACATTAAATGATCCTTAAACCTACTAAAGTGTATCGATACCCTTCTAAGATCACTTCCAATTGTGCTTATAAATGTATATGTGCTCTTAATGACAAGTACATAAGAAGGACTATAAGAAAAGCACTTAAAGGGCTTTCTGAACATATTCCTCGAAAACGGGAGAAATGTAGTGCTTACAGGTGCATTCACAAGACATTTCATGGACAGTGGACAAAGTGAATATCACATGGACGTTTAAAATACTTAACTAGCACGGAACAATGCTTTGTATAAGAATTTGACATCAAGGGATTTCAACGTGACCCTTGTATACAGAAAGAAAGTACAGTAAACCTATCGTTGACATGGTGAAATAATTATATCGTTGTAGTGTGCCAAGTGCATAATCCCTTTAACTTATATTTTAAACATTCGGCCTTATTATTGCCCATTTACTATGAAAGTTGCGTTCTTCATTTTATATCCCGGTTATTATTTGTGATATCACTCCTTTCTTTAAACGACTTCATCTTCAGCACATGAGTACTAATTAATCTTAACTATTGCACTAATTATGTTGTTATCTCTTCTAGTTTTTGGTGGTTTTTCGCTATCGCTTCAAATCCAAATTTATTGAATAAAAATAAAGAGTATTCAGCGAAGAGAATTACCTTTTCGATTTAATCATTCACTTACACTGTAGATTTTTATCTATAATTGCTTGATAAAGAAGGAACCGATTTGGAAAATTTCTTCATATGTACAGTAGAGCCATTTATACTATCATATTGACATAAATATTTTATAATCAGTCATTTGTACTTCTATTGATAATGCTTCTTCTGTTTCGGTACAACCATAATGGGATAATTCTTAGTATTTTCGTTTTGATAACTAAAGTAATTACATTACTCCCTTCAAAATGAATTAAACTATAAACAGGCAGATCAGTTGTGTTATATGTAATCATAGAAATTCTTGATATTCTATGGTAATTCAGCTTGTATCTAATTGAAATAAAGTGTTGTCTGGCATTAGTTAAATCTCCAATTCATTAACAAGGATTTTTGTCAAGGAATTTATTATGATAAACGATGGTCAGTTGGATATTGAGCAGTCAGGAAGATTATAAACTATAATCATTAAATGTGTTGTTAGGTATTGATAAATGATGACAGTCCTCAAACTGTCAAATAAATATCGGAAAATAAAGCCAAACACTATACAATATGACAGGGACAACCACCACTATTGCGTGAGTCTGGTTGGTCGCTAGGACATTGGGGATCATTAATGGACATCGTTAGCAATCCTCTAAAGAAAGCTACCTGATTTTCTCTTCATACTAATATTAGTACAAGTAAATGAAGATACCAGCATAAAAAGTTCGTCGCATAATTACAACACACTTATCAAATATCTTAGCTTAAAGCCGAAACGAAACATTGGACCGAAACTACTAAAAAAGATCAAATTGGATTTCAGTAGCCCTCCAAATCAATTCTTAGGCTAGATTACTAGCGCTACCCAATTTAAACAGGAATTTATGGAGCGTCACTGTAAAATATAAATATTTTCTCTTTACTTGGAGAGATTGGTTTATAATCATGGGTTTTTTAATTATGATAAAGAATTTTTCTAATCCCACAGTTTATCTGTAAACATTTTATGCGCAGTTGATTTGACATTAAAGCTTTCTTCAAGAAACTTATGTTTCACTCATTTTTTTCAACAGTTATTCTTACGGTCAAGCGATATCAATTAGTACTTTTATTTGTAGAAACCAAAACGGTTCTTTCCTTCATTTAGAGATGAGTTCACTAGATAATTATTCTGAAAATTTTAGAATAGAAAGGTTTTTTATATCATTTAACTTTCGTTTAGTCTCTATGTAGTTTTCAAATGGATGATAAATTTAATAGACGATAATTAATGTAATGTTCTGATGTCGTACCGGTAACAAAAACTTTTACTCACCTACAAAATATCCGTAATCAGTTAGGTAGGACATTAATACTAACAAAATATCTCCTCACTACGTGATAAATACACTGATTAATTACGGCGACACGAAATCTTCGGAATTCAGCATTAATCAATAATGCTTTATATGATTATTCGGAACTTTTTTCACATGTACATAATTTTAATTATCATGTTCTGAAACCTGGTCAAGTTCAATTATCTTATAAAAATTATGCTTACATTTAGTGTAAACTACTAATCATAGTAATTTCAATATTCAATCAATGCACTCTGAAGAAAAGAAAACTAGTTAGTATTTATTTCATGTGAAAATAATGAATATTTTCCATTTACCTTGTCTATTATATACGCATCATTTGCACCACAAAATATTTGATAATTTCATAACAGTAATGTCAAGTTTTTCCACTACTCAAGAGACACTTTTAATTGAGAATGTAGATACGTTAAGTTTTGTGTCAAACAAATATTTCCATAAGAAAATATATAAAGATGTTACATAATATATTTCTTTAAAGTATTTCTTAATATTTGAGTAACAATCTACTCAGTTTTTTAAATGTGAATAGAACTAAAATGGACCTCAGTTACATGGGAGATTTTGTTGAAAAGATAGAAATTGATGAGTTTGTACTGCATTGATAAGCCATTACAATATTAACCATATATTTAACACAGATTATATAGATTAGTAAAGTTTTAAATACCATAAAGGAAACAAGTTATTTCTTATCAATTTATTACACTGAATATGAAAGGTCATTTAAATTTTTCCATTTAATTAATCAGGTCAAAGTGATATCATATTTGGTCTTTGTCATACAGCCAGTCATGTGCATCTAGGTCCCAGACTAACGATCCAGTCAGATAACGCCTATTTTTTGAATTTTAGAATTATTCTTGTTTAATATGATTTGGTCTTTCTTTCACTCATTTACAAAACTTTAGAAATATTAAAAAAGGGATATTAAGTCACATCCCCACATCCTGGAACACTCATAATTAAGTAATCACAGAATAAAGGTTAAGGTTTTCCTACCTTAAAGATCAGGGGTGAATACTATATTAATCAAAGAAGTCGGCAAATATCATGACTCAGAATATCAGTAGATATCATTTTGGCGTTTGAAGCTCTGTGCACTGAGCTTATGCTTCAGGATGAACGAGAAACTAAGACATGCGTACATTCTGATTATCAATTTTTAATATAGAAATATACAATAGCGGTTAATCAAAGATATAATTATCCCATTAAGTTCAAATGCTCTTTCGTGTCACTTAAAACATGGTTAAATAATAACAAGCTTATGTCGAAAGGCTCAAACGAAAACGCAATATTTTTATCTTAATGTAAACTACAACAACAGAGAGAAGTACTTGCAAATCTACATGGTGAGCTCCGAAGTTTGTTTTTATCGTGATTACGAGAAGAAGAGTGACGCCATATTTAAGTTTGGTATTGCTAAAACTAATACTTTTTTGGGAGAAAAAAAAGGGGGTAATGTAGAGCAAAACAACTTTGTCAACATACATAAATCTAATCATAGGGTAATATTAGTCACTTGCCTAGGAATCCTCAAGATAGAACAAAATCAATTGTCCAGTTCACTCTAGTCCTCAATGAATAGTCAGTCCAGAAAAGCAAGGTAATACAAATCTGAATAATTACTTTATTACGTTACAAGGCTTTTCACCTCTTTTTACTTGTAACTTCATTTCGAATTGAATCCAAAGAAACTCAATCTTTATACCAATTTTTTTACGACTAATAACAATTAATGTAAAATATAACAACCTCAAGTGTAGTTTTTCCAAAATTGCTTAATTGGTGATTACTTAAATTAATGTCCATTTTTAATGCTAGTTTGTAAAGTAATCCGTGGAATCATTTCTGAGCGAATTATGTATCCAAACATTGGCAAATTAATTTTAGAATTCATGTATTCAGATTGTATTCAAGACGAATTAATGAAATACCTGTAATTTGTTTCAAGCAACTAGCTTGACTGCTGATTTCTCTATGGGTTACATGAATGTATCATAACTACAATTAAATGTGGTAAGACGGGGATAGTTTATACTTTCTTAATCTGTATGTATAGTACAAGCATACATAATAAAAAAACAAAAAAATGTTATTGATTGGATAAGTAAGTGAATTAGTAAATAAATTTTTACAATGTCTCTTTTTTCAGTAAACAGTTCAGCATCAAATTTCTTCTCGGTATATTTTAAAGTTTAAACCATAAGAGATAACATCCTTTTAAAATTAAAATTGAAGTAAGATGAAATTGATAACACACCTAGAAGAATGAGAAAATCAATAATTAAAAATCATTTACTTCTTTAATTAATTACACTGTATGTAATTCACGCTACGACTTGTAATTCCAGACGAATATATTCTCAAGTTTTGTTTATATCAAACTTTGTTTATTTGGTTGAAAAAACAAATTTTAATAAAACTAGGAGTAACTCAAATATTTTCAACAACTCTCTTATATACTACCAATCATATATGATTGTATAAATTGAGTCGTGTTTAACAGATTATTCTTAAAACAATATTTTTCAACATGTCAACCTACCGTGCAATACTACTGTTAGTGAATGTGTATTGGGATAAATTTTTGTTTTCCGATCAAGTAGACCTTGAATTGAAATCGTTAATTATCTTGACAGGATTAATTAAATGTATCTCATTAAAAGAAAGTTTTGGAAAAAAGAACTGAGAACCGGTTTGAATATTTGATAATAGTGATTACTGAATTAGAAAGGTAGTCAAATGTTTAATGCAAATCATCATAAGTTTTTTCTTAACACATGGTATGTTAATTTAATCAATAAATCATCATGATAAAATAATGATTACGGCATGTATAAATCACGCGAACTGTGAAGGATCGGTAAATTAAATTACGCCATCTCAAGAAAGTAATAATTTCCCAGATAGAGGCGGTTGATATTTATGGTTGGGTTATTTTGTAAATAGTAATTCTTAATACAAAACTCCGACTGGAGTCCCTCCGGGGGCTACTGCCGGTCCCAAGCCCGGATAAAGGAGGGGGGTTGGGCATGGGGTTAGCGTCCCCATCCCGTAGAAAACTAACCCGCTAAAAAAACGCTAACCAGAAAAAATTATTCAAACCTTTTAAACTCTGCCCTGGGAGTCAGAAGGTCTTCATTTAGAAGAATTATGACGCCTCATGATGAAAGCCGAATCCCTTCGGAAGTTACGAGGCCGATGCCCCTTCTGACAACCAGAGCAACCATTTATTTAGGTACATGGAATGTTCGTACAATGTGGGACACCGGGAGAGCCTTCCAAATTGCTGCAGAAATGAGAAGATATAACCTAGACTACTTGGGATCAGTGGAACACATTGGACACAAGTTGGACAACAACGACTAACTACAGGAGAGCTCCTGTTATACTCCGGCCATGAAGAAGAAAATGCACCACATACACGAGGAGTTGCATTGATGCTGTCCAAACAAGCGCAAAATGCGCTTATAGGATGGGAATCTCATGGACCAAGGATCATCAAAGCCTCCTTCAAAACAAAGAAAGAGGGCATTTCAATGAACTTCATCCAATGCTATGCGCCTACCAACGACTACAATGAAGACGCTAAAGATCAATTCTACTATAGGCTGCAGTCAATCATCGAGAAGTGCCCAACAAAGGACCTGACCATTCTGATGGGAGATTTCAATGCCAATGTTGGAACGGACAACACTGGATATGAAGACATCATGGGACGACACGGACTTGGAGAAAGAAACGAAAATGGTGAGAGATTTGCAAATCTATGTGCCTTCAATAAGCTGGTCATAGGCGGCACCATATTCCCACATAAACGCATACACAAAACCACATGGACTTCACCGGATCACTCTACACAAAACCAAATCGACCATATTTGCATCAACAAAACGTTCAGGAGGACTATAGAGGACGTGAGAACCAAGAGATGAGTTGATATAGCATCAGATCATCACTTGCTGGTCGCCAAGATGAAATTGAAACTGAAGAAACACTGGACAACGGGGCGGACAATATCACAAAAGTTCAATACGGCCTTTCTTCAGGATACTAACAAACTCAACAAATTCAAGATAGTCCTCAGCAACAAGTTCCAGGCCTTTCACGATCTACTCAATGGAGAAGGAACTACTGTGGAGAGCAACTGGAAGGGGATCAAAGAAGCAATCACTTCAACATGTCATGAGGTCCTGGGTCACAAGAAGCATCATCACATGGAATGGATCACTGTTGATACACTGGATAAGATTCAAG